GAACCGAAAACCGTGACCACGAAACTGTGAACCGAATCGTGGATTTTGTGAACCGTTCCACCCCTATTAGTTTCCATTCCTGATCAAATCTGTGCTGCAATTTCTTAATTCTGAAAGCAAGTTCAAAGGCCTGCATTTTACCTTTCTGTATGGTCCCCTCTATACTGACTGATGTGCTACAATCATAAAAACCCTGATAAGGACATTTTTGTTGTATTTTTGAGTTTCAAATTGACTTTCTTACTTTACGTTACAACAGCATGAAAAAACGCGGATTATAATTTTTTCCTAACCCTGTAGGAGAAGAGTACTGTAGGTGGAAAAAAACAGATTAGTTTTCCTAAATATACTACTTTCAGATTATATGGTTTATATCTTGCCAAGAAACACAAACAAAGGCAGGAAATATAAAAAACTACTATTCCAGATCTAAATCTTTTCATAATAAACATCAGTTGGAAATCAATCCTCAAATATAGCAGTAAATTCACCCTTTCCTCAGACCTGTCTGTAAGACCCTGAGTATCAGGGACAGCAAGTAATTTCCCTCAGGACTGGATAACTATTACAAAAAAAAAATGTACTCAAACAGGTCAAATATATAACTTGAATTCTAAAAAGCATCCGAAAAAATTATTGCTGATGAATATAAATATTTATTGTAACAACAATTTTTCCTTACAATTCAGTTCAAAAATATTACATTAATCCCAAAGGGGCAATTCAGTACATCCATCTTTCTTCATTATTACCAGACTAAAATTAAATAAAGGATTCATATAAAGTAATAAATATATTCTTGTTTGCTTATACTGAGGCTAGGCTTGTCAACTAAGGATTCTTTAGCTTTTTCTGATGATTTGATGATTAAACTAGGACAGCAATAGAATTTAATGTTTCCTTTTCTGATGAGCTTAAGCTTCATTTGACTTTAGTCAATGTCTTATCTTTAGAGCTGAAACAATTAATTAGATTAATCCTGATTAATAGATTATTGAAATAATGGTCAATTAATTTAGTGATCGATTAATCAGAGAAGCAACTATACCATAATTGTAAAAAATTATATAAATACTGAGCATTTAAGAAAACTGTTTCATTTGTCAATATGATCTATTCAAAACTATTCAAGTGGAAATATTTTAGTTTCACCTGGTTTAATACTGTAAAAGAACGTTTAAGTGGCCTTTTGCTATCGGATTATGAATTAATAAACTCAATTAAATCAGATTAAATGATTAGCAAAATAATTATTAGTTGCAGCCCTATTTATCTTAAAGAAATATATATGCAGCTACTCAACTTCTCGTTGGGAAAACAATTCTAGATCATACACTGGAAATATGCCACATTTCATATGTTAACATTATCTCCTCAGGATAAACTTTATCACACTGTGGAAATATGCTTGACTATTGCAGAATAATGCTAGAAGAATACATTAATGAAACTAAAGAGGCAGCAGTGAAGCAGGACTTTAGCTGAGAGAGTCGAATTGTTGACCACTACATTCATTTCAAATCTGAGAGACCATTTTTAGGAAAAGAAAGTTGTGAAATGTACCTGCCACCAATTTGTCCAACCATGTGAAATTTATCTGTTGTGTGAAGACCTAGAAGCAGACCAGACAGCTCCGTGGAAACTGTTCAAGCAGGGGCTAATTATAAAATATTAGGGCTGCAACTAACGATTATATCGCCAATCGATTAATGTGTCGATTATTTTTTCGATTTTTCGATTAATAATCAGACAGACAAAGGTTCCTTAAAGAAGATCTTTTATGGAAATAAACCAGGTGAACCTAAATTGTTTCCACTTGAGAAGTTCTGGATAGAACATATACGTTTTTTTTTTATCTTAAATGCAAAATTTTTACTTTAATTAGATTTTTTTAATTACCCTTTTTACTTTTTTTTCTAAGTGGGTCGCTCTGTCCACTAAAGGCATGTTTCACAGTCTCTAAACTCCAGTTAATGACAAATTAATTTCTGAATTAGTTGACAATTATTTCACTCATCAATTAATCATGAATAATTTGATTAATTGTTTAAGCCCTTTAAAAAACTGTCTTTAACTAACATCCCTTCTAGCACCGTTCAGTCAGTGATATGTGAATGAAAAGGAAAACAAAAGGATGGATCATCCGCATATAACCATTATTCTGCTCATTTGTCCTGGTATATCCTATTAAATCCATATTTCATAAAATACCATGTTTATTCTCAGAATGTCTCCACAATAGAAAAGCCTTTATAAGAAGGAAGAGGCAACAACAAAACATGAACAATTAGCCCGAAAATTCTATAAAATAAGTAAAACAATGACATCTACAATAAAAACAAGATAATACCATTTATATCCAATCAGATTTAAAATAGTAGCCTTTTCTCCACATGAAACATTGATATATTTTACAGAGTTGTTTTTCCCCAAAATAAATATTAAAAAAAGAAAGAAAAAAAAATCATACTGCATATACATGTTTGCAGGGTATTCATAATACAGCGAAGGCCATAAGTATCTGTGGCTTGTGGAAAAGGATTCCACCCCAAAAAGCTGGAGGTTGCTGATGGGGGTGTGGTGAGGAGGCAATCTGCCAAGCCCACACTCCCATCTGCTTTCTGTGGCATGTTAGCCATTTCCTGAACCAGAGGAAAAGGCCAAGGGTCGCTTGTGGGGAAAGCGAGAGGGTGGGGAGTTAAGGGGGGGGTGGAATTGATAATTATGTAAAGCGGGTAGAGATCTGAGGTTGAAAGAAACATTTTAAAATGTCAGAGTGGTTTTAAAAAGTAAACTTAAAACAGCATAAACATCTACAATCAATATGAAGTCGTAAGCACATGGCTATATTTACGTAACTATTACTCCGTCAGCAGGGTTTTAGCTCATCTCATATATAAGTAAGTTTTTTTTGTTTGTTTTTTTTTGGCTCTCACAACCAGTGTGCTGGTTTCCATACATTTTTCAGGATGTTTTTACATTTCCCTTTGGAGTTTTAACTATTTTCTGTACATTTAAATACACTATATTAACTTTGAACTGCCTTAAGTAGCAGTTGGGTCTGATCTGTAAGCTCCACAATATTGGAAGATACACTATACAACAAATAGTGTGGTCAATTTCCACATTAAAATGAAGTAACCTAACCTACTCCAAGAAATGAAGCTAAAGAAAGAAGGTAAAACACCCCCCCTTATATTTATTGATGACGGTACATTTAGTCTGTAGGTAAAAAATAAAATACTTCTTGGTTAAAAGCAATAAACTCAAGATAAAGCAAATTGGTTGAACATAGATAAAACATAAAGTGAATATTTCTGCATTTATAAGACTTGACACAACACCTGTCCAATACATTTATTTTAAAGACTATAAAGACTTGCAGAAAAACTGTTAAGAAATAAATCTTATGAAGGATTTGATCATTTGTGCACAAAATACCAACACCAGAATAATTATAGCTCCTGCCAAACATTTTCCCCAAATTAATCTCCATCAAAACTTGAAGGAATTTGTGTTTTTTAGACATAAAAAAGTGCCATACATGCATGACCAGGTCATTTTCTCTCACAAATACAATAAGTCTCATGCGAGATCAGAGGAAAGGAATGTCTAAAATGTTACTCCACAGGATGTTGTTCTGTCACGTAAAACAGCTCGCCAGGTTTATAGAAGGGCATTTCTTTGACACAGAAAGAAGGCGTCCAAGTTTTAATTCCTCAGACACTGGTCAGAGGACAGCCGTACATTTTTAATTTAATAGTAACCTCTAAGTTTTGCAGTTTCAGAGGGTAAAAAAAAAAAAAATTCAAACATTATAACATTGTTCTAGCCAATGTTGCTTTAGTTGACCTAGAAGGGGAAGATGAAAGAGATGCTTTAAGAAATAACCAACCCGAATCTGACATTTTTATGCTCTTCAGACCGAAGTCGGTGACTAGCATCTCAGACTCTCTATTAATAATTCAGTGAAATCACAACACAAGACACAGCCACATGGCTCTGCTTAATGAGCAGAGCCTTATTTACCTGCCACAGTTAAATAGGGGTAAACAGTTTTACTTTTACAATGCTTTTACTCAGTTGAGGAATCAAATTCATGACACATTCTTGAAAAGCTACAATTTTCAGTATCATACTCTTACTAGGGGTGGAACGGTTCACAAAATCCACGGTTTTGTTGGTTAACGGTTCCGTGGTCACGGTATTCGGTTTGGTTCGGTATATGTTGATTGATACACCGAAATCCCATAAAAAATTAATGAAATTAATGAAAAAATCCCCAAAAAATTAATGAATTGTAATTATTTTTAATGATCCGTGGAAACCCTGGATCATTTCCGCATGTTTTGCTGCTTTGAATTTAATCATCTCGTTCCTGCCCTCTACGATCTCCAAGGAACTCAGAGCAGAGCGGACGGGAGCCACAGCGGAGGCTGTAAGCTTTGCTTTGTGCAGGCGGTCTGGAGCGCAGCGCAGCGGAGCGCTGACGGAGTATGTGGGATTTCGGGGTTAGCCTGACATGTTGGTCATGTTGCTGTTAGCATAAACAAAACGCGTTGCACAATACTTGCAAACTGTTAAACTTTTATCCACAACTTTCTTTCCGCCATCATTGTAGGTCACTCTAAATGCAAAGTGGTCCCATACAGCAGATCTATAAAGTGCTGCTGGCGCGTCTTCCAACTCCTGTTCTTTCCCACTCGCCATACCCACACAATTCTCCACAACAACTGATTTTTTTCTGCTACACTGCTTCGCTTCTCCTTCTTGTTTACTACTGGTGGTTGGCTTTGGTCGCAGGACCACCACCTTCTGCTCTGGACTGTACATGCTTCGCCTATGAGAAAAAGGAGCGCATGAACCGAACGCAACACACGCAAATCGAACCGAGACAGTCGAACCGAACGGTTCGGACGGTTTTCATGAACCGTTCCATCCCTAACTCTTACAATTAAATACATCCTTGACATGGAATATACCATATTTTCCGGACTATAGAGCTCACCTCAGCACACCCCAGTGTCTTTAATACGACAAATAAATTTCAAAATGTGTGAATTCGGAGCATTTGTTCTCCTAAATGAAAATTAGCTTCTTGGTCTTTCATTTCCAACTTTGGCTTGCCCTTCTGGGGGTTAGGCAAAATCAATAGAAAAGCTGCACCTTCTTATAAGCTGCATGGTTCAAAGCGTGGGAAAAAAATAGCAGCTTATAGTCCGGAAAATACGGTTCATAGATTAGATTGCTCTTAAAATCATGCTAGCTGCTCTAATTGCTGACAGAAGATGCTAAAAACTGTTTAAACTGATCTTACTGTGGTAAACCTGGCCTTTTTTATAAAAGGGATGAGAGAGTAATTTTGANTTCTTTCCGCCGTCATCGTAGGTCACTCTAAATGCAAAGTGGTCCCATACAGCAGACCTATAAAGTGCAGCTGGCACGTCTTCCAACTCCTGTTCTTTCCCACTCGCCATAACCACAAAATTCTCCACAACAACAGATTTTTTTCTGCTACACTGCTTCGCTTCTCCTTCTTGTTTTCTACTGGTGGTTGGCTTTGGTTGCAGTATCGCCACCTTCTGCTCTGGAGTGTACATGCTTTGCCTATGAGAAAAAGGAGCAGCGCATGAACCGAACGCAACACACGCAAATCGAACCGAGACAGTCGAACCGAACGGTTCTGACGGTTTTCATGAACCGTTCCATCCCTAACTCTTACAATTAAATACATCCTTGACAGGGAATATACCATATTTTCCGGACTATAGAGCAAACCTCAGCACACCCCAGTCTCTTTAATACGGCAAATAAATGTTAAAATGTGTGAATTCGGAACATTTGTTCACCTTTGTGCATGCTGTTAGCAATTTCTTGGGCTAAATGAAAATTAGCTTCTTGGTCTTTCATTTCCAACTTTGACTTGCCCTTCTGGGGGTTAGGCAAAATCAATAGAAAAGCTGCACCTTCTTATAAGCTGCATGGTTCAAAGCGTGGGAAAAAAGTAGCAGCTTATAGTCTGGAAAATACGGTACATAGATTAGATTGCTCTTAAAGTCATGCTAGCCGCCCTAATTGCTGACAGAAGATGCTAAAAACTGTTTAAACTGATCTTACTGTGGTAAACCTGGCCTTTTTTATAAAAGGGATGAGAGAGTAATTTTGAACTGAATAAAATTTAACCACCGATTATGTTATTTCTAATTGAATTAAACTTTCAACAACCAGAAAGGCTCCTATATAGTTAGAATAAATGATTTAAAAATTGATAAAATGACCATGATTAAAATGTATTAAAGATTAAACAGTTGTCTTAAAATTATATCAAGAAATGTTCTTTCCATTAAACGGTATATATGCATCTTCAGATACACACACAAATTACAGAAGTTAGTCAGCAAAATTTGTTTTGTAAAGGTATAAGAAAAAATACCCCATTATTCTTATTAGTGTTGTATTGTATTATTTCTATGTAATTGTAGAAAGTTCTTTTTTATTTGCATTACTTGGACAGAAGGAACAAATCTGGCCGGTCTATCTCTAGTTTTGTGTTAATGTTTCATTTAATGTTTGCATATTGATGAAAAATGAAACAAACAACCAAAAAAAGATTTTAAGCAGACACCCAAATATAGATTCTAGAAAAAAGTAAACACAGCATCAAATCTACATCTTTTTTAAAGTACTTACAGATCATAGTGCTGATTCCACTTTGGATCAAGAGTATTTCTCACAGTATCTGTTGAGTGGCATTGTCCAGAACCGTCCACTACCACTTTAGCGAAAGGATCTGGCAAACCTGCAAAGCACAATAAAATGGTTTTATTTAATGAGCAAACAAAATTATTAAATTACCCTTTCAGGCTTTTAAAAGAGAAGAACATGAATAATAATACAAACTTTTCCCACAATGTCTATTTGATGAAAACAAAATAGAAAGATGAGTTAAAGAGAATCTAGATTTTTTTTTTTTTTTTTTTTTTACTATCCTGCTCCTTTTGACTGGTGGCATGAAAAACTTAAATCCTTGTGCAGAAAAGCTTCTAACAGCTCAGTTTTTACCTTGTAATTATTGATCTGACTGTAGATATGTGCATGTTGATTTTGGAGAGCCGTTTCCTGGCTTATCAAGATCAACTCACATCTGCCTTATTTGAATGGCACGCTTTCTATTATCATGTCTTATCCATTCTGAAGTATGAGGAATGGCCATACGTGTCACGTCACATAAATTAGCAATGGAAACAGGAAGTCATAGATAAGTAAAAGTTCTCTGTCTGACCTAAAAGCCAGAAGAAAAAGTGACACAGTCATCAAAATAAGCTCAGTTTACATCTATCTTTTAGAGAAATCTGTCTCACTATGGTTAGTTTGACTTAAAACATATTTCTAATAGTGGGATTATTTTCCCAACTTTATATAAACATACTTAGTTTTTTTGTTTTTCTTCCCCTGTAGTATTTCCTAATATAAGGGTCTGATTTAAAGTAAAAACCTTATGTCATTTTAGAGAGAGATGATTCAAACTTTCAGTTTCTAAAAGAGCATGTTCTCACATGTATTGTTTTTGTTGTGGGAAGGATTTACACCGCTAAGATACTACTACTATATGTGGAAATGAAAAACCTGTTTAGCTTGAAACATGATAATACAGTCTATTTTATGGTCTGATGATACATGAATGCATAGGTAGCTGGGGGACAAGTACGTCTCACATGATAAACTTGTTTAGCTTATTATAAGAACTGGAAATACCCTACATCTATGAGTCTATGTTGTATGGTTAAACCCCGACAAACCAAACTCGTGTTCTCGGAGACAACCGGCTTAATAACTTAGTGACAAAGATGGTTTCAGCAGTAAGAAAAATAATTATACAAAGAGGCAATTCTGAAAATATTCAGGATTTAAAATATAATCCTTAATGACAAACGTGTGACAAAACAGACTCCAAATGTTTTATTTTGATGCCCTCCTCCAATAAGGTTTAAATACGCAACAAATTTGCCTACATTTGTATTTTAAGCACCTGTTTGAGATATTTAAATACTCAAAAACTGTTAGTTAAACCCCTCAAACAAAATATTAATCTAAAAGGCAAAGCAAAAGAAAGGGATTGAAATAAAAAAAAAATATTTTTACTTACGAAAGAAGTCTTTCTTTGCCAGGTTCTTTGCACAGAGGACTAGGAAATAAAAAAAAAAAGACAGATGTTAACGTGAGAAGCAATATAATACCCACACATCAGACACGCATCAAAAGGAAAATAGAGACGTCCTTAACTGATGCCAGGTAGAGTCTCAATTAGGGTTTTATCAAATGACCACCATCAGAGTCCCAGATGAAACTTAACTACCAACATCTGCTGTTGGTCTACTGTCTGCCATTTCATCAGCTGAAAGCTATTGGCTTGTGTAGCACAGAGCTAATTGGTTTTGTTTGTTTTTGTTAGTCACAGCCTGTTTTAGTTTGCACAGCTTATCAAACCAGATTAAAAGTTTGCTCATTATTTGTTTGAAGGCTCCTCTAGCTGCCATTACATTACAAGTAAAGCTGCAAGTTAATAAAGCATGACAATTGTTTTTTTGTTTTGTTTTTTATCCGTCTGTACAAGATAGCTATATGTGGTTTATTTATGATGTGGGCCCACCCTTACAGCTATAACAGCCTCACCTCTTTTAGGAAGGCTTTCAACAAGGCTTAGGATAATGCTTATGTGAATTTCTGACAATTTGTTAAGGCTTGGCTTGAAGTCTTAAGTTTAATTCATCCTAAAAGGTGGAGATCAGGGCTATGAGTACGAAACTCTAGGGCTGGGCTATATGGACCAAAAATAACATTGCAACATTTTTTATCTGAATGGAGGGAGGCGGAGCAATAGAAAGCTTAGCACAGACAAACCCTTTAGAGAAAGAAAATTACAGGTCTCAAGAGTAATTAGGACACAAAAAGCATATCTATCTATCTATCTATCTATCTATCTATCTATCTATCTATCTATATATATATATCTATATCTATATCTATATCTATATATAGATATAGATATAGATATAGATATATATATACGGATTATATCAGAGAGAGAGACAGACAGAGACCCATCTTGTATCTCTTTTAAAAAGATCTAAATAGATAAACAGATATGTTGCCCAAAACTACCTAAAAAAAAATAAAAATTAAAAAATAAAATACAAAATTAAAAAATATTAAAAAATTAAAAAATAAAATAAACTACCTAACAAACTCGGTTGTCAAAAAGTTAAAGGGATATACAATATTATGGGTTGATATTAGCTTTAAAGCTGCATACAGGACATTGGCGATTCCATTGATTTAATCCATCAATGTAAAAGGAAACCTTAAAAAAGGTGAGGATTATGGAGTCCGCCACGGAGGAGATGCCAAATTGAAATATCAGAGGTGTTTACTCTTTAAAAAAATTAACATAAATAAATTTTTTCCGAGAAAAGTGAATTGCCCCTATTTTGAACAATTAGATAAGACAATCTCCCAATTTGATAAGATTTATTTTTACAATAAGAAAAAAATCTACTCCGTTCATCTTATTCCACAGGCAAATCTAATCATCTTAAAGGACAGCATACTAATTCCAATGGCAAATCATATTTACTTGTTAAAATTAAACATAAACACTTATTTTAAGAAACTTTTACTGAATCTTAGATCAGTTTTTGCAGTGTATATTTAAATACTAAGAAACATATAGACAAACTGCTATTTGCAATGAATGCTCTAAACAGGAGTGAGAAGTGTCTGTGATTAGGTTTAGGTGGAAAATTATTGTTAATCAGCTAGTTGAGTTATAAACTACCAGCATATAGGATGTCCGTTCATAATGACCTTGCCATGCAATGAAATGTATTTGACAACTTATCTAAAATTACAAATTATACTCTGTTCATACAGAAAGATTCATCAGCTTTCAATAAAGAAAACAAAATCAACTTAAAATATGTAATTTTTCTCTTCAGACAGCATTTCGATATATATATCAAAACACCCTCTTCACTTTACTGGCTCAATCACTCACTTTAAAACAAAATGTGGATTTCAGTGAAATGGTTCTGCTACGTCTCTTTTAAAGGTTAGAGGAGTTTCTTTGTCTAAAATATTGATTAGACAAGCATTCCTTCCTGTACGAAGCAAATCCACAGGGGTTCGTTACACTGACAGCATACAACAGCTTTCAACTAAGAGAGGAACAAGACGAGAGCATAGCTGAGAACAACGCCTGTTTCATCCAATCTCCCTCAGACTATTGCAGTCTTTATTTCTTCCTTTAATGCTCTCTAGTGTGTTGTAATCATTTGGCTACCTGCAGAACACTGATTGTTTCTTGGATCCGTGCTACAGACTTTAAACCTAAAAGGAAGACAAATTAGGTCACACATGATCATTAGAATAATCCAGTCCAGGTCTGACTCTCTCAAGTACTTTGGGTGTTTTTAAGCAAAGTCCCATCCAAGGTCGCAGTTAGTGCAAGAAAAGAACGGAAAAACCTTTCTAGATTCTAAACTACTCATTTTAATACAGCTGTGGGGATGTATTAAAAACGACAAATCTACTGCATCCATCTGACAACGGATAAGCAAACCTAAGGGACAACGACTACCGACAGAATAATAAGAGGGGAAAATTCTCCCCTAATATCCGATTACATTTACTCGCTCATCTGAATGAGCACCAATCGTTATCTTATCTTATCAAGAAAATGATGTCGCCAAAGCAAAAGGCACGCTTGCTTGCCAAATCAGAAGGAGACAGAAAGACCGTCCAACGGGAAAAATGGACATCATGTTACATGGACAGTAATCTTGGCAGATCTTCTGTGCAAAGTAAGTCCAGAAGATAAGTTAAAAAATAAGGTTTAAATACATTATTATCAGATCTTTAATGCTTTTGAAGAAGCTTGTTTCATTGAAAAACAAAAAATACTAGAAGTATGTGATTGTGCAAATAAATGAAGCTAAATTAAGATGAGAACAATATTTTAAGCATTGAATAAAATCTTCTTAATGATGTATTGATTATTTTTTTTACTTTTAACTTGGATTTAAATATCAGTTTATTTAACATATTTACAGAAACAAGTTAAGAGAACATATCAATTTGACGTGTTATGCCAACACATTTATTTAGCCCTGAAGAACTGTGGTATTTATTTTCCCATGATTCCAGCAAAAACTATACAAAGCGATTAAAAAAAGTTTGTCAGATACACAATCATACAATGTTTAATAAAATGTCGTTTAACTTCATTCAATTGAATAAAAATATCTATACCTAGATTAAAAAGAAAATATTATGACAGTCCTTACCAGTAAGGTTTAATCCTACTGTCGCTGCTATTTTGGTTACAAAGATTTAGGTTAGGAGTGAGAGATTTTGCAAAAAATCTAAATTGCAATATTTTTTCTGAAAAGAAATCGTGTTTGCCTTTTTATCTTGATATTCCTCTGTATTAACCACAAGCACATATATTGGTTTGGCTCCAGGGTTTCATTACTGTTATGGCCTTGGATGCATTGTTGTTAAGAGTAGGGCTGGGAAATTACTTGCATTTGCAATTAGGGCTGAAACAATTAATCTGATTAATCGTGATTAAATTATTGAAATTCAGTTATTGAAATAATCATCAACTAATTTAGTAATCGATTACTCCTTAACTGGAGTTTTAGAGACACTAAAATAGGCCTTATCTGACAGAGCAGACCACTCAGAGCAGTAATTATATCAAAATTGCATTTAAAAAAAGTGTTAAGATTTTCCTTTTAAAGTCGTAGGGAAGCGGCTGTTCCAACTGTTGCATTTCCAAATTCTCCCGAGTGGTGCACGACTTTACAGGAGTGAATAAAGTGAATGTGATTGGTCGTGTGTCAAGAGGGCGGGATTGTTGTGGCGGAAGATTCACAAGCAAGTTTGATTGTGGCCGGTTTCTGTTGAAGCATCTTGCTAACCAGTTAGCAACTTAGTGCTAGTAGGTTCCCAATGGGAAATTCCATTGGGACCAAGTAGCACTAAATTGGTAACTTAGAAGCGACGCTGTCAAGGAACGCTCTGGACAGAGGAAACATGCAAGAGGATGAGATTTTAGTGTCGGAGGTCGTGGATGAGTCTCCTCCATCATACATTTTTTATTTAGAGGAGGAAAGCGGGGACGAAGATGTTGTGGAACAGGATGCCAGGGCGGCAGAAGCTTTTAAGACAGGATTTTCTACATTTTGGGATTATATGGTCTGATAAAGTGTAAATTAATATACATGTTTAAGCCAGAATGATTTGACATTTAAATATGATTTCCCTACAACTGAAAGATACAAAAAATGTTTTTGTCTGTCAATATGCTCATGTAACCACATCACCAGAATGATTGACAATTTGAAGGACCACTTCTTTTGATGACCCACCCAGAAAAAGAACATCCACCACTTTACATAAAAAAATAATACCAATTTTAGAATTCCTCCTTAGTTAAAAGTCCATCATCAAGGGACTTCTATTGTTTACTGGACAAACTGCTAGCGGGGATAGATCTGCTAATTATCTGCAAACCTCTATTCTTCGAGGTGGCAAACCTACTTTAAGCATATTACCAACATCTGCATGGCTGGAGAGAGAAAGTTAGCGTGTTACTATTGTTATGCTACCAAAGATGTGGTACTTCTACATCTTCAAAATGTCACAGCTTTTAGATGGCAATTATATGTATCACAATCAAATGTCCAGCCCCAAAGTATTATAAAATGTAAAGAGAATCCTAAAAATCCAAAATCTAATATGAAAGTAAGCAGCATTTGGATATGTTCCTCCATTTAAGACAAAAACTTTTCTGTGTGTTTTCACAGGAAGTAGGCACCACAGTTTGGCAGCTACCAGGTTACACCGAGTATACTTAAGTTACCAAACTGTGCTAAGAAGAAGATTAAGGGATTACCTTCCACACTGCTTCTCTGACTTAACCACAGAAACAAGAGAGAAAATCCTCTTTCATTGTTAACAATGGACTTTCAAAAACTGAGCTGGAAGAACCACAAAGCTGGTGTTACCAATAATGATACACTACAATAAGGCATTAAACAGTCAAATGATACCAGAAAATAACAAAACAAAAATTTTTTTTTACTGATGTTTAATCTATCCCACATGTGCAAAAATCATTCA